CCTTTTAGGTACTGAAAGGTCACAATAAGATCACCTCAGAGCCTTCTCCAGGTTGAACAATCCCAACTCTCTCAGCCTCAGAGGAGAGGTGCTTCACCCCTCTGATCATCTTGGTGGCCTTCCTCTGAACTCGCTCCAACAGATCGATGTCCTTCCTGTGCTGGGGACTGCAGAGCTGGACACACTACTCCAGATGGGGTTTCACAGAGTAGAGGGGCAGAATCACCTCCCTGGACCTGCTGTCCACACTTTTTTTGATGCAGCCCAGGATACAATCGGCTTTCTGGGCTGCAAATGCACACTGCTGGGTCACGTCCAGCCTCTTACCCACCAGCACCCCCAAGTCCTTCTCAGCAGGGCCGCTCTCAATCTGTTCACCCCCCTGCCTGTACTGATACCACAGGTTGCCCTGACTCAGGTGCAGCATTTCGTGTTTAGTCTTGTTAAGTCTCATGAGATTCCTATAGGCTCACTCCTCAAGCTTGTCCAGGTCCCTCTGAATGGCCATCCCGCTGAGGGTGCACCTGATGCCACTATGTCACTGATAAAGACACGGAATAGCACTGGTCCTGATACAGACCATATCCTTCATAACAGAACTGAAGATTGTCAAAACAAATGTGTCCTTAAGGCAACATCTTTCCCTCTGTTACCATTAAAGACAGCTACAAAAGTTACCCAAACAACTTCTCCTCTTCTAGTCTGAGACAGAATAATACTGCTCCACTTTTCTCTCTATTCACCTCTCATTCATTCCTGCAACTGGGCGGTGAGGCATTGTACAGTGATGCAAAGGAATTAAGTAATGATTCTTAAGGATTCTAGATCAATTTTTCTATTGTATAGCGCTGTGAAGGCACTCTTGTTTTCTGCAGGTTGCAAGAATAAGGATGCACTAATGATACTTGATACAATATAACGGAAAATATTTTTTAAAAACACAAATTAATAAAAGGCAAAATGTTCTCTCACACACTTTGTGAGACAGTTTGTGAGGACTGAAAACTGAGTACAATGGAATAAAACCACACATCAGTAAAGTTTTACCTTCCTACCATCTCCACCTCCCACATACTAAGAACTGCACACTCTGAGTGTCAGTGTGAAGTTCCCATCTGGTTTTTCAGAAGTGGATACGGCCGTCAAGACAGAAAGCTGATGTAATCATAAAAATCTTGTTTTCTTAAAAGACAGATTTTAAACATCTTATTCAAAGTCCATCAGATACTTACACTTAAAATTTTGCCTTTGAACATGAACATTTCAGAAGTCAATAATAAAATATAAATAACATTAATAAAATTATATCCATAAAAGTAAATCAATAATAGACTAATTCAATATAGAGGCTAGAAAACAAGAGTGTAAGAGAGGAAATTTAAAACAGGTGCTTTGGACATCATCATTCCAAGCACAACTGAGGGTACATTCCTGGGAACCCCAGAGACCCACGCTAGTGCACGGACACTAGAAGCAATTCTCACAAAAGTGGGAATGGAAAAGAAGCATCCCAGCTGCTCTTGGAAGGGGGTGTGCATTTCAGAGCACCCAGCCCCCAAAATACACCTGGGCACAACAAAGGGAATCAAGGCACAGACAGAGACATTCAACTCTCACATAGTTCTTGGCCTTTTAAAAGAAACAGTCTACAGCAACTGTAGTATTTTCAAATGTCACCATTTCATATACCCCTTCAAATAAATGATCCTAATCTTATCATGAAACATAATTAAATTGAAATATCAAGTCCCTTTCATACAGGTATTTACAAACAAAGCAGACTAACTGCAAGTTTCTGGAATGGTTTTAAACAGTTGTACTATTTTTATTATTTAGGTAAGTAATGTTCTTTTCCAGGGATCATCTTCAAACCAATTTATTTTAGAATGCTTTTGTTAAAATACTATCATATTTCAAGTGGTGTAAACAGAGGACTGAAAAGGGGGAAAACAACAATTCAGAATCTCCTGTCTAGAAATGTATAGGAAAGTAGTGTCCTGTTTAACTAAATCACCCTGTTATGAGACCTATCTCTAACCTTCTCTCAGTTTTCAATCCCTTAATTGTCTTGTCCCAAAGCCATCAGTGTCCTGTCACAGAATCCCCAAACACTCCCATCTCAAGCCTTTCCCCTTTTCAGCCCAGACCAAGAGTCTTTTGACCTCCCCGTTCTCTCTGGCAGTTTACTAAGTCCTCTATCACATCTTCCTGTCTTTTCTGCCTCCATCTTCCCCTTCCTGGTTCAAACCAAATCCATGATATCTATCATTCTGCAAATTGCCTTCCAAACTGCCAGCCTACTCTGCAATGCCTGCATTTCTATTTATTCAATCCCTCTGCTTCAAATCCACACCATGCCTAGCAGCTCAAAACCAGGTTGCCCTGGTTCCAGGTTCCTCAACAATTCCTGTAGAGGCACTTGCCGTCATACTATTATGCTTTTATTGTATGCTGATACCTCTTACTGCCCTTCATTGTCATGGCAGCCCTGTCTACTCACAAAACCCCTTGGTCCTTATTGCAAAACAGGCTTTAAAAGTCAGGCTGGATGAAAAAAAATAATCAGCATGACTCTGTAAGACACAAGAATAGAATGCATCTAGGGTAAAAACAAAGCCCAAATAGTAACTTGTATGTGTTAGCTATGTCCATCAGGCTTTCTGAACTTTCTAAAACATCGTTTTTTCAAGTGTGATCAAAATAATGGTGTCAGCTTAGAATAACTATGTGGCATAAATTCAGTACTGAAGAATCAGATCACCTTAAAAACTGTCCTCAACTAAATCTGAATTGTCATACTAAACAAGCTTCAGATTTCATTTCTCCAAAGGGATCATTTAAAAAACATGGCCAGGAGAACCACAGTAGAGAGCAGATGTGTAGAACTGAAAGGATGCAAGCTCAGGAAGGAAACTCAGTGTCAGATAGAACTCCAGCCATAAACTTTCCATTGACTCGTGAATTCCTTTCTATATGGATCTTTTTCATGATGACAGAGGATGAGATTCAACTCAAGTCATGTTTCTATATTTCACTACTGAAGCAAAGCCTATGAAAACACTGTATAGCCAAATACAAAATATATCAGTCAGAAAACCTACAGTGTCTAGTAGGAGCTGAGTTGTCTATTGTTTGCTTGTCACAAAGAATTAGCACCTCCATTCTCCTACTATGCGTTTCCCATCTCTTCCATGCTTAAGTATCTTGGAAGAACTCAGAAGCAAAAAGCAATGCAGACACATTTACTATGACCAACATATTTCCAGAGTTATCCCTGTACTTCATAGCCTATTTCAGACTTGTGCATACCTACACTGATTGACTGAGGGCTAAACAGATTTCAGCTGCCACCAGAATATGCTCCTTTGTCACCCAAATAGCTGTGCCCAGGAAGCTACACTGCCCTTCCCATGCAGATCTCTGTGAATTCCTCTCTAAATTCCCCCTTCTATTCTTTCTAATTTAACTAGCAGTGATTAGCCATAGTAGGAATAGAGAAGTTTAAAAATCATTTCATAGCTGCACAAATGGCTGCAAGAAGACACTGTGGTTTCTCCAGATAGACCTAAGAAACCAAAGCAGTAAGAGCAGAATGGGTAATGAATGGTTTTAGGGAAAAAGTCTAGGAATTTATTTTTTAAAGTTCCTTTCTGAAAAGACTGAAATGTAATAGATGAATTTCAAATTTTTTCCCAAATATTTGTTTAGATACTAACTTTTATCCAAGGACGCAGTTTCCATCACATATTTAACTTTCAACAAATCAGTATTTCCTGATTGAAAATGTTTCACTACCAAGTTTTTTTGAAAAGTTTTACTGAGAAAGTTTAACTTAAAACCAGCTGAGAACCAGACTGACAGCTCTGAGCACTACTGGACAAGCAAACAAGAACAATTTGCCTAAATAGGATCTGTCCTGATACAAGATCAGTTCTCAGCATCACAAGTATATTCAGTGCTCACATTGTCTGCTGAGTCCATCAACATGAAGGGGCTGTGCTTTTCTGACTTATCTGTTAAAAGGTGAAGACCTATCTGCAAAGCAAAATCCTTCAGCTTCCTAGAGTTATAAATGCATCCCACATTTTGAAATAAATATACTGTCAATCAGGTAACAGATATTAAAAATCCAAATATATATCAATAAAACTGAAAGCAGCAAAAAAAAAAAGCAAATAGCAGCAGCTGTTGCAACTATTAAACCTGCCTCAGAAAGCTTAGCAAAACATAAATTTAAAACAATACTTCCAAAACCAAAGAATTAGAAAGAAGACATTTGAAATGTTTGTCTCTAGCAGATAAAGAGAAAAAAAATATTTTCCAAGGCAAAATGCATGTTCTGGACAATCTCCAGTTGGCAGCTTAATTAACTAAGAAATGTCCAACTTGAACACCTTTGATGAGCACAACTATAGCATATGATGAAGAAAAAAAAGTGTATGTTTGTAGCCATTTAGGACATAACTCAAAAAGAAATACGAAACTAAGTGAAATTCTACCAGAACTCAATGTAAGTTTGATATATATCACCATGTTTAACAAAGGATTATCATTTCCCATGTTAGTAAGCACTTCATTATGTCTTTACAATGTTACTGGAATGTAGAATTTACATCAGAACGCATTGTGCAGACTTTCATTCCCAGCATTGTGATGACACACTGGAGCAATGAGGAAGCAAATTGCATGGAAGCACAAATCTGAAAAGACTTGGTTTTATTGTTTCACAAGACAAGGCGTGGATTTCATTTTTATACCATATTTTCTAATCCTCTGCCCAGTCTCACTTTCTCCTATAAAAGGACCTCAGCAACTTTCTCATCATCTCACAGAAAATCAAAATTCTGGTTACTGTAAACACTTCAAAACAACAAGATGACAGTACCAATTTTCATGAGATTTACTCCTTACAGCATGTCTCAGCCCAGCCCAGTGCTGACACAGAAGCCTGTAACAACCTTCTCTCTTGCACAGGGACTCCAGCTTTAGTGCTTACATACCTGCTGTGTAAGGAGACTGATGTGGCTTGGTGGAGAATACTGACAGGCTGCTTGCTTTTCTGCCAAGTGCTGCAGTTCCGCTGCTGCCATACCGGGGCCGTGACATTTGCCCTGGGAAGAAGTATATTCGGTTTCTTTTTGCATCCTGGCTGAGCCCACACGCTGCCCATTTGAACTGCGATGGCACAAACCTATCAAACAAACATTTTGATATGCTTAGCCAGCGCTATGTCAGACTCTCTCAGCCTGCTGATCACAGAGACAAAAAAGCAAATATGCTACTAGAAGAATACAGAAGAATTCAGAATACCTCTATTCTTCATGGGTATTGCCTCCATGAGCAATTATCAACTCCAGACCCATATTCTCTTTATGATAATGTATCTAGTGGCACCCTATTCCAGAGAACATTGGCTACTGTTACCCAAGTTAAATCTATAATGTTTTTGCCTAAAGGCAAATGGGTCTCTTCAATGAAGCTATTCAGTTGGGAAGTAAGATTTATTTTAATGCCAGAAAACTCACAGTCTTCAACTTCCTCCTGAGGGGAAGAGGAGAAGCAGGCACTGATCTCTTCTCTGTGGTGACCAGTGACAGAACCCGAGGGAACGGCCTGAAGTTGCGTCAGGGAAGGTTTAGGTTGGATATTAGAAAAAAGGTTCTTCACCCAGAAGGTGGTTGGGCACTGGAACAGGCTCCCCAGGGAAGTGGTCACAGCACCAAGCCTGACAGAGTTCAAGAAGTGTTTGGATGATACTCTCAGGCACATGGTGTGACTTTTGGGTATGGTCCTGTGCAGGGCCAAGAGCTGGACTCAATGATCCTTTTGGGTCCCTCCTAAGTCTCTACAGTCTGTGATTCTGTTGCCAATATATATAACAAACCTAGTGAACGTGTCCTGACCCTGACACACAATCTAAAACAAATATATACCATCATTCAAAATACAAAAAAATAAGTATTATCAGGACCACAGCTCTTAGCCTATGTGTGGTTCCCAAAACTTTCCTATTAGATTATAGTCTGCATCCAAATTCCTACAGTTTCTTCTACCCTTCAGATTCCTTACACTCTAAATTTGCATTGCTCAACTATGTTCTATCCCAGCATGACAGATGAGAGGTCTCTAAATCTTGGGTTTCGGACACTCTTGGATATGGCAGTGCTGAAAACCCTACAGAATGAGATACAGTAATGAGTCATGCAGATCTTTCCTTTTTGGAGGTCTTGACACACCTTTAAGTATTCAACACCTACAAGGTTTCATTACAAGATTTCTACGCTCGATAGAAGCCAGAGAACTAAGAACAGCACACAGAGGACAGGACTTCTGCTAATAAAAACAATATTAAAAAATTGCTGAAATCAGGTAAAATCACTAAAGTAAAATTATTTCAGTAATATAATAAAGAAAATATACAATACATAATTTCTCAGCTCTTTTTGGAACAAGTTCAAAGGCTGAGTTCAAAGCACAAGACTGAAGGGAGACTTTATCACTCTCTAGAACTACCTGAAAGGAGGTTGTAGTGAGGTGGGGGTTAGCCTCTTCTCCCAAGTAACACAACAAGAGGAAATGCCCTCAAGTTGCACTGGGCAAAGTTTAGATTGGATATTAGGAAAAATTTCTTCACCAAAAGGATTGTCAAGTACTGGAACAAGCTGCACAGGGAAGTGGTTGAGTCACCATCCAGGGAGGTATTTAAGACCCATAGATGGGGTTCTTAGGGACACAGTTTAGTGGGGGACTTGGTAGGACTTGATGAAGGATTGTTTGACTTAAGGAGCTTAAAGGTCTCTTCCAACCTAAATGATTGCCTGTTCATCTGGTCAATAAGAGGGCATCTCTGGCAAACAAGGGCTGCATCCTGTACTCTTACTTCCCGGGAGAAATTTAGCACCATTCAACAAGATTAAATTCTGGAAACATAACATTTTTACCTACTCCAGAAGAGAGATTACACCATCTGTGTATTCAACTAGCAGGTTACCCATCCCAGAACACTCACCTACTTTTGCAGAGGATGGTCGGGACAATCTTTGGCTGTAGATCTGAGCAGCTCTCTGAAAAGATGAGAACGGACCAATGGTGTAGCTACCAGGACGACACCGATGTAACCCTGCAAGGCTACAGGTCTCACTGGACACTGGGTTTGTGAAGACAGAAGAGCTGTCAGGAGCTGTGCTCTGCAAGGAGGGTAGTGGGGGTGGGGACTGAATCAGTCTGGGAGCAACTGGAGGAGCCAGCAATGAATGGTGACCATCCACCTGCAAATTTTCAGAGGCCGCAGGCTGAGATGGTACCCAGGAACTGGTACTTCTCTGGAACGTGGCACCAGAAACAGAGGAAGAAGTACTAGAACGGCTGCATCGAGGTAATTTCACTTCAGCATTTAAAGAGAAGATGGGTCCTTCCGGAACTACAGAAAGATAATGAATGCACTATATGAGAAAAAGCTGCTTTTTAAGTCCTTCCATAATATCAACACACATATGCTTCTACTCAGACATATTAACCTTACCTACCAGCAAAGGCAAGGTTCTACATGATAAATTTCCTCTTTCAAAGCCTGCCATATCTAGATCTTCCCCCCACAGAGGGGCAGCTAATTCTTTCCTAGTGCCCACTTTACAGTACCTTCTACTGTGTTTAAAAGTAAAACCTGAAGAATCTTCCCCAAAATTGGGCATTTGAATCTCTCAGTTTGAACGCAAAGGTTCCAATCTTTCTCTAAGACTCTATTAGAAACAGTATATACCTTTGATATTTTTTCTTGATGATGACTTAAGCCAGTTCACTTACAGTTTGATTTAACTTCTTTGGGTTTATAGCCTTTTAGTGCTCCTTCTGCAGGCACATCTGCAACTGAACTTTTGGGATGATCACCCTTTATTTTTTCCACCACCTCAGGATGCTCTATAACAAAATCAAGGAGTTACAAAGTAGAACATTGCAAACTGTGGTATCAGCAGAACAAGACTACAGAATTAACCTTGCCATAACAGACTTTCTTGCTAATATTTCCTGTAGACCACGCAGCTTTACTGATGACAATTTAGCTGTCATATACAGTAGCATGGACTACTAGATATATGTCTGGCACTGCTCTTGCTTCCATGAAATGCCTAATCAGGCTCAAATGTACAGTTTCTGCCCTCTAGTCAGTATGCTCACTGTAGGCAGCACAATTCAGGCCTTGATTTCTTTCATCCCTTTCTTTGATTTCAGGTTTCTATGTTCATTTTAATTCTTACTGGCTTCAGTTTGCACATTCTCATTTCAGTCACGAGCCACCATATCTAGTTCCTTATAAATGCTAGTCAAGATTCATTCCATTTCACTTCAGGCAACAAAGTTAGGAGTGCAGTTACTCTAGTCTTCACATAACAGTGAGTTAAAAAGATATGCAACCTCAAAACTTAATAACATTGTGGAGGAGTTGTTCTCTTTTCACAGACTGAAGTTAAACTGGATTTGTTTCAGCAACATCATCTCAGAATTGCCTGCAAAACTTACCACCTTGGGGCTGCTTCTCTGACTGGCGACTGCTGTTGCTGTGTTTTGTGCTTGTGGATTTTGCTCCTAGGAAGATACTTGCTGATTTGTTTTTGTGTGTGTAAAATGTCAGTACTTCCTCCAGGTCACTTTCACTACAATAAAGAGAGAAGAATGGATGTAGAGTGAGGATGCTAAGCTTTTTCGAATTCATGTAAAAGACAAGACATGATAAGGAGACTGAAGAGCTGAGTGGAAAAAAAAGGGTGAGACCAGATAAGCTAATGCCTTGCTCAGTTATGCAGGGTAAGAGCAGAAGGAAAGTAACATGCCTTGGTTAAACCTGAGAATCCAACAGAAATGCCATCATCTTAAGCAGTAGAAAATTCAAGCCCTGACAGGATAAATAAAGAGCAAGTAAACACTCCAAACACATTTGGGGAGATCAACTCAACAGGAGAGATTCCATTCATGGTTAAATTTGTGAATCTTCCCCAGGTGCTCTTTAGAACAAGCAGCTATCATTTCACGAGACAATTCAACTCAGCCTCTGTTTTACAGTCATTAGTAGTTTCTACTCAGCAGTGGAGGGAGAAGAGGAAAGAGAAGGGAAAAGCTTGTTAATAAGCCAAAATTGCAGGACAAATAGAGCAGGCAATATTTTCGTGAAACTTAGAAAACTTGCATATGTTTCTCATTTTCTTTACAAGAAGAAAGCACAACTGCCCCAGTATCCTAAACATCTATTGGTCCCAAATCAGTATCATTTACTTGGCCATTCTTATTAGAGCTCATGCAAGCTGTAATTCTAATTTTTTTTTATTTGCTTTCCTTTTGCTTTATAGTGTTGCCTCAGCACTAGTGAATGGCTACATGGCAGAGCAAACACTGAAAGCACAACATATAGTGCCAGTAACACTACAAGAAAACGTAACACAGGAATATAAATTAGAATAGCAGCAGTTAGAATCCTTCAAAATATCCTCTGCATATCACATGTAAAAAAGTTTTATCTAGCCTGAGCTTTGGTAAAAGCAATGTTTAAAGCTGATACATTGGAGTTTGGACCTTCAGGGCATGCTGCAAAGTTCACCTTTTCTCCCAAACCAATAAGAATAGAGGTGAAAAGGAAATATAAGAATGACAAGTTGTTGGTGAAAAGGTGCTGTAAGCTTTTAAGTGAAGTTAGCAATATAAGTATATGCTTTTACAATACACTAAGGACATTCAGAATCAATGGTCGTAGCATACGTGTAACTAAACACAATGCCATCCATGTGGTATTAAAGTTAGAGAGTCAATGAGACAATCTCAATTAAAAAGCAACATTTTTCACCTATTTTCTCCACTGTACTGAAGAACAAACAAAAGTGGAAATTTATCCCCTCTGCTTTGCTCCAAACGACTAGCTTACTGATTTAAACTTCAAGCACAGTGCCAAGTAGTGTCAGATACCAGAGTTTTCAAATATACCTGATACTTAATAAGAAACAAAAGGTCATCATTAGGAATCGTCTGATCATTGGCAAAGCATGCTTAATCACTCAGGCAAATGACCCAGCAAAAATCTCCAGCCCCAGCCTAGACTGTGCATCAGGCCACAACAGCATGATAGCCAGTAACATGGAAACAGAGGAGTATGCAGTTCTGTCCCATACAGTCACCTCCTAGCTTTTCTGACAAAAAAGAAAATGACCTGCACTATGACACAACAGACATTTTAGTGGCCAGAAAGGTCAGAGAACCAAGAACATGCCATGGGCCTATGTAATATGCTTTTCTAGCTAGAGGAGTAGATCCTGTGGTGTATGGTAGTCAGACATCTTTATCTGAAAAGCTACAACATTTTTCTGGGAGCCTATAAATCTGTTGCAGTAATGATTCCATCAATTATATTAGCAAAAGGCAAAATTACTTGTTTTCATGAGAATGTATCATAAAGAGAGACTGTGAAACCTCCTGACATTAGTTAAGACATCTCAGACATCATCCACTTCTAATTATTCACCAAGAGCACTACCCAACAGAGAAGAAGAAAGAATGTTTTCATAACTGGTCATGAAAAAGCAGTGACCATCAATCTTCCTAGAGAAAACAGATGAGTATTAAAAAAGGCAGGTAAACTCTACCTGTCCAGATATTGACATGGGTCATTGCCCATATAAGCACATAATATATAGGTGAAATAATGGAGTCAAGAGGAATTACTTTTTGTGCTCAAGAATCAGAGACTTAGGAAAAGTAACTGCGGTTCACTGAACAATTTCAGACCTCTCCATAGTCAGACAGCTACAGTAACCCTTGGTTTTCATGCAATGCTACAGGCCTTAAGCAATACTTCACAAAATCACAGATTATGCTGACTTAGGAGGGACCCAAAAAGATCAAGTCCAACTTTTGGCCCTGCACAGGACTATCCCCAAGAGTCACACCACGTGCCTGAGAGAGTCATCCAAATGCTTCTTGAAGTCTGTCAGGCTTAGTGCTGTGACCACTTCCCTGGCAAGCCAGTTCCAGCACTCAACCATCCTCTTGGTGAAGACCCCTTTTCTAATATCCAACCTCCCCTGACACAACTTCAGGCCCTCCCCTCAGATTCTGTCACTGGTCACCACAAAGAAGAGACCAGTGCCTGCCCTTCCTCTTCCCATCATGAGAAAGTTGTACACTGCAACAAAGTGTCCCCTCAGTCTCTTCTCCAATACTTAACTATTTTCAAAATATGCTACCTACCAGACTCTTTTAAGGCAGATAAAGTTCAGAGACAGAAAATGCTGCTATTTCATTGTGAAAGTAACTGCTTGCAGGCCAAATTAGAGGCCTAACTCCCATCCTTGCTCATCTCCAGACCTGAGACTTCCTGAAGAAAGGCAACAAGCATGAGAGCAGAAAACTTAAGCATCAGAGCCATAACTACTGCTTGGCCTCAGCAACTCAAAAGTATTGCCATATTCCAAAGTATTGCCATATTTACTCCAGCATCACAGAAAAGGAGACCATTAGTTCACCAGCATCTGTCTGAAATTCACACAGACCAGGGCAACCACTGTTGTCCTTTCGGAAGCTAATTAATGGTCAAAACATCTATTTTTTGTCCTTCTCTATGCACCAGACGCTGATGTTACAAGTGTTTGGCTGCTGGAAGGAAGACGAGAAAAGACAAGTTTTCTATCCCCCATAAGGAAGAGGTCCTACAGTCAGTAAAGGTATCTAAATGCCTTTAGATCCATCAAATCATCTTTAGAATAACCTCATCACCTTCAGGGCTTGGAGATCCTTTATCAAAGCAAATAAAATCTATTCTTACCTTGCTTTGGTAATAAAGTTCTGAAAACCTTCAGGATTCACTCCCTCCTCCTCCTCTTCCTGTTTCTTTTTTGATCTTTTCTGAACCATCTGCTCTGTTTCCTGTTAAAAGCAGTATCAGTAAGTGTCTCTATGTTCCATGGCATATCTACAGCTCCAAGAATACAAAAAACAGTTGTACAGGATCTAAGAAAAAGAACGTCAACTCCAAAGAGCCAAATTATAAGTATTTCACTACGCGCAGCAGCATGAATAAGTACAGAGAGCCCCAGAGACAGCATCCTAAGCATACACTAAACTCTTCATTCTTCCACCTGACATAATTTATTTGCTGAGAAAAGATCAAGCCTTCATAAATATGTGCTGTTCCTTCAAACACCCTCTTTGCTGGGACATAAGGAACTATGGAGGAGAAAACAAATTAAAATCATTATTTACAGATATTAGGTCCCCTCTCTACTTTTGCTGTTTATGTCACAAATAGAGTTCGTCAAAATCGCTTTTATTTCAGCATTTGTCCCAAAAGTAGACAGATATTCAAGAAGGAGGGAAAAAATATAAAATTATACTAAAGAAACTGAATCAAGGATGTCTATTGATGACATCCACATTTTCCACTGTAAACTAATATTTCTCTTGAGTTAATCTCTTTTGTCATGCAGCCAATTGCTGAGGGCTTACATACATACCAAAACCACACCGCTTTAGCAAAAACTAAGAAAGTAAAACTGTACAGGCTGTGGCAAACATGCACTTCTACACTAAAATATACCGGAGTAAGTGGTAAGCCTTTGCATGTGAAAATGAAGCAGGCTCTGAGATACAAATGATCTATTTTACACAAGTAGAACTGGCTGACACTAGAGGTTGTATTGATACAAATATTTTTATTCATTAAAAAAACCTTCAGGCCTGTCTAAAATACCAATACCAGTTTAAAAGGTATCTCTGACCAGATCTCCACTTCATTTCTGCCTGCTGGTACCCTGAGTATTGCCAGAACAAAACACAGATCTTTTGAAAGATAACTCAAGACAGGGAAGAAAAAGCTGATATGGAACATGTCTCTACCCTTGACTACTTAAGTAAATGTCTGGAATATATGCCATCCTTTTTACTTAGTTTGCTGGAGGTAGCCTTTTTTTCTTCTGTGTCATTACAGAAGATATACAGCGGCTAGTAGGAATCCCTACTAAATCCAAAGTTACAAGCCAATGAAAGAAGTCTATATATTGGAATCAGACATCAAAAAACCTCACAGCCTAACCGTCTCTCAGTGGCTTAAACATGTATGCCCCAAAAACATCAAGTGATATGTTCTCACTTGTTCTGAGAAAATATGTTTATGCACTGATTTACTCCCAGTTGCACAGCTTTATTTTGTGAATTTACTCAAGAGTTAGCAGAAAATCCTAACGTTTGAATACAATTTGAGTGGAAATTATATTCAAAGCAGCTGAATTGTTCACTCACCACAGAGCCACCCAAGTGTTTTGTGGTTACTCCCAACACAGTAATTCAGTGAGCATTAGGCATACAAGGCACTCCCTGGAACAGATTTGGTTCAATACCAGCCTTGCTTAGACAGATCAAGTTACCAGATGTCAATTCTGACTAGCTAAGATAAGTGAACATCCTCTCTCCTAACAATTAGAAGCTTGGAGGCCTCAAAGCAAAATTTCAATTTTGCTTGTTCTAACACTAAAGAAATGCTAGGGGGAAAAGGAAAGGGAAGTTGCCCTTGCAAAGCAAGGAGTAACATGAGACCACTATGCTAAGAACAGCATCTTCTATGTCTAAAGATGTGATAATTATTTAAATTATGACCTATGTGTCCTTAACATTGAGCACACAGCATCCCTTACTACAAAGAGGTAGTAGTCCCTCCATATACTAAACAAATAGTAAAATACATAATTTCATAACGTTCTATACAAAAAAGTTATCTCTAAAGAAGTGCCATACAAATAAGAAGCGGGAAGAGCCATTACAAAGCACTAGAATTGAAGACAAGGCAAAGAAAGAGCAAACTGCCAATTAAATTCCCCTTCATTTCTGCACTTCTTTTAATGCATATGATTGACTGCATAAATAATGTACTAATACTGTTGTCTATCTGACAATTTGAACAGCAAAGTACCATTACTGGATGCACAGCTGCAAGCAGACCATGTAAGTGACAGAACAATGCCTTTGAAACGGCCTGCAGGAAATACTTCAGAAGAAGAGAACAGAAACCAAAAGAGATACCAAAAGAAAAATTAGGAAAAAAATCAGTCACCTTGTTATAACAGATTATGAACTCTCCCAGCTGGCGAGCCAGGAGACGACGACGATCACTTAGTCCTAAACGACGGCTGGGGAGCAGCAGCCTCAAGGACTGACGGAGATTGCTGGCAGCTCGCTTCAGAAAGCGGATCACCAGCTCCTGCAAGCAAGAGAGATGGAGTTAACCATGGACAATCTGCAAGATGTGGGGAGGAGAGATACTACAGCAGCTAATGGGTGGCAAGAAGTAAAGATAGTGTCCTGGGAAAACAAGATGAAATTGGTAGACAAAAGCATTCTGCAATATGTGTTTTTAGTATAGCTCTACAAATACAAGGTGGGAGAGGAAAACAGTGTGCCTTGCCTGAGGTAGTCAGAATTTTGAATATTTGAGAAGTGCTTGTTTGAAAAGCATGATAAAGGAAAAAACAAAATAGCCAAGAAGCAAAATCAACACAGAACGACCTGTAAAGTCCAATATCTTAGGAGAATGTTTCCAAAAAAGAACTTACAATGTGTTAAAGGAGGCCTGTCATAAGGTGTACTGACATAAAACCCTCTCAGCACTACCACAGGGAAGGAGATCTTTGTCAGAAATCTCCACAGATATCACTCCACTGGGGTAGCCTCATTTCATCCCTTTATATATATATCCACTATTGCCACATTCTCTCCACAGTAACATATGACTACATCTACAGCTGTGTAATTCCAGTCCCTCATCATGTCTGTTTGACCTCTGGTGGGGGAAACATATGGCAAGGCAGATCCTAAGGCAAGATGTATCCTATGGGTGTTTTGAACCCTTTCTGTCTCCCCTCTGGATTTGCTTTTGCTTAGGAGCTCTATTAATGCATAAATGAGCAGCCTCACAGCCAAACTATTGGATTTCACAGCTCGCCTCTCACTGCCATTACTCCAAGCTGGTTTGATCTGTTATTTTAAACATTATTTTTCACAGTACAGCAGACAAAGTGACTCTCAAAAAGCCAGTTTTAATTTCCACTTGGAAAGAGCAGAGGTAACATTTTCCACTGAGTTGACTGATTATTCTTGACATGCAATTTTATCTCTGAACTGCATTGGCTGTTTCCCTGCAACATGCACTCAGTGAAAATACATTTGAATATGCAGAAAGCTCAAGAGCCTATTGTACACAGCTCTTTTAGGGAGGTTTGTGAGAGTATCTGGGCTTGCTGCACTCTTTAAAATGCATACACATCAAACATAGGGCCTTAAAACACTGCCTAGAAAAATTCATCACTTTTATTTTCTCTTCTCAGTGGCTTTTACTTTAATTTCCTCTACCTAGAATGCAAGGAAGATTCCTAAGTGCAGATGTCTGGATACAGTAAAACAGTGCATAGGAGAGAAAGCTTAACTGGGTACCTGCTCTATTTGAATAGATATATATTTTGTTTAATGCAGTAGAAACCAGATCCTGACAAGTAATCTTAAAGAATCTTTAAGAGAAGAATTCAAGAGCAGGTAAGCTCAGAAATCAATGAAGGAGAACCGTCAAAAGATCTGAGCAGTGTGAACGCCAACCACACTCCAGTCACTAAGAGCTGTGTACTCTTGCTCTGAGGTCAGTCAGCAGTCCTTCCTCATCTGTATATTAAAAATACAGCACTGGTAGCTGGACAAAGATAGACAACCACTACCTCAGTTGGACTTCTATTCTTGCAAGGATGGGAACAGACCTCAAAATTCTCAAGGCAGATTTCAGCCTGGCTTTTCAGTCTGGCCAACACAAAGCTTCTTACCATTTGCTCATCCTCTTTGGCAGCCCAGGTAGGATTCTGGATCTGGTCGCCAGCCTCCTTCATGAGTCGGAACTGAACATGCTGTAGATAGGCAGAGAAAGCCGTACGGGCTTGCACTTTGCTGCGGGCCAAAAGAACCAATCAGCAATATTCAGAGTAGGAATGGGAAGAATTACAGAAGTCAGGCACAGCTTATGGTCCCAAGTGCATTAATGCTGATGCTCAAATAAAGGGGGACACCTTCACCCCCACCAGCATTTTCAAGCAGACTTTCAGTTCACCAAGACAGGGTAGGTATTGCAGGAGATATGAAAGATAGCAGACACTCTTAACTTCTAAGATAATTTCTAAAAATGGAATGCTCTTCCTGCCTTTTACAGCCTTAGTTACTCTCTTCCAAAAGGCAGTAACATGAACATCAGTGAAACTGTGTATTTTTAAACCAAATTCAAGGCTCTGCTGGGCCTCTGTCTTCACAAACATTTTGAACACCACAACAACAGACCATAAAATAAACAAAGGGCTTGGTACTGGTGCCAGAGTTACAACAAAGGCCCTGTAATTCCCACTGGAAATGAAAGAATTAAATCTGTGAAAGTGAGCTCCTCCCCTGCTGGCCTAGGGACACAAGCCAAATTTCATTGAGCAAGGCACCACTGAAGAATGAAAGATCAGCAGCAAAATGTGCTGTGCAGCTGGCTGAACATGCTGGGAAGCTGTGAGTATGAACTGAGGAAAGAACTGGGAGTGACACATCACTTCTCATTCCCTCACAATGGTAGTCACTTTAGCATATGCATTTGTTGTGAGAGAAATTGCTGAAAGCTTTACCTAATTCTGTTCACTGTCATCATGGTCTAAATCCTGTCCTCAAGCATTCTGTTCTCCCAGTCTCTGCTCTTCCTCATACTTTTCCCCATAGTTGCTAAAAGCTTTTCATAAGGATGTAGCAGCTTTAGTGTCAGTGACAGATTCATTCCTCTTTCTATCACCAGCAGTGTCCTAACATTTTCTATTAAATTATTAAGTTTCATCTCAAAATAAACCAGACTTCTGAATCCATTACTTTCCTGGAATATTACTCCAGAACTTACTGTTTTTGTAATTAGGAACCTTCTTTTACTACCCAGCCCAGCTTCATTCATGAGCAGTTTATATTTGCATTTTCTTTCTCCACCTTGAATGTATTTATGAACAGAAATTACACCCTTTCATAGTTTTCATTTTATTAGGGTGAACTATCCACATCTTTCAGTGTCTTCTAACAAAGCACCCACACTGGTGGCATGATGAGATTAGCAGCTCACCCCAGCCTGCTCCAGTCACAATTTACCTTCCAGGAACATGGGCGATAGCGTCTGTATACAATACTCCACAGGAAGTCTCAGAAGTATGTCAAGTGATAAACCCTAAACCACATTTGGTGTTTTTTTGCATGAGCTAGAGCTCTGCAAACCTCCTGTGATCAACCAGCATCCAAGATATTTTTCCTTATAATTAATTTCCAGTTGATGAATATCCAGCTGACAGAATTTCTTTTGCAAATTATTACTTCTTAAAAGCATACCCTTGCAACTTTGTGCTACTGAATTTCATCCTAGTTATATTATTCCTATCCACAAGGCCATGCAGTTTTTCTCATACTTATTCCACTACTTTCCTCTCATGGTAATAATTCCCAAATCTTTTCTATCATTAGATTTCTATCTAATGAAATCTTTTTCATTAGCACATTTCTACATTTAGTGTCATTCTTGACTTGATTATTAAAATCAACCTCAGACTGATTCCTGAGGAATCTCACTATACTTTCTCTACTTGTTCTCTGCTTCTTTGGAATATTCTCAGATATATATATATATGATCCTCATGACTCTATGTACTTGAGTCTATGAAATATCATGAAAAACTCCATGCAGCAATTTAGCCTTTCTGGTTTACAGTTTTCCACAGAAATCATACAACATAGTAGCACTTAGAGAGATCAATTTAGGTAAGAATTGAAGTTAAACTAAAATACATCGGAAGTATGCATCTGCTTAATCACCAACTTTTGATGCTTCTAGAAGACCACACCAGGCCAAAGAGAGGCTAAGCAAATGAGAAGTTCACAAAAGTCTCAAACTACCATCCTCTGTGGGTAGCTATACCTGTACCAGCAACTAAAACCTGATGAAAATACCTGGTTACAATGCCTGTGTTTCAGGAACTTCAGTGAACTCCAGTAGCACCTCTGAGCTCTGTATGCTGCTAGTCACCACACGTACCTTATTATTCCACATGTGTGGAACATTAGAAGAACATGGAATCCTAGCTAAGAACTAATGCTGTCTACATCAGGCCACACTATATCAGAAAAGGCTCTTCCCCTCAGAGCTCTCTAGGGCTGCAGGTTTGTTTTAGGTGCAACTCAAATATCTCATGATAAGGAGTTCAATTAGAAATTAAGGAGCCCCTGTTATCAGCATCAGCACAATGATACAGTTCTTTGCCTGCACCTGATACTTCTATGACTAAAAACAGAAGATGATCCTTGTATAACAGTGCATCTCCTATCATGTGTGAGATATTGAAACCTGAGGTCTTAAACATAGGAATATATAAATCCCTTTTCATTTTATTTCCTTGGAAATGGCACAGTTGGGGGAACAAGTTTCATTTGACTGTCATCTCTTTATCAGTAACACCCAATGTGTGGAAGGTAGAGAAATTTCCTCATCAGGGTGACTGAAGGAGAAGGAAGTCCTACCACTTACAAAAACTGACCACAACAGGTCTGGTTTCTCTTGAATGAAAATTTCATTACTTCAGCTCCTCTGCCTGTTGAACCCACAAGCAGAGCTTTCATCAGTGACAGATCAGATGGGGCCAAGCCCAGCACAATCCTGGAACATGAGGTCAACCACAAGCCTTACACGCCTCTGTGGGGAATCCCAACAGTGCTGGGTGCTGACCAAGATTCTGCCAGGAACACCAGACAGAACTTACATTCTTGTCAGGAGTCAGTTCTATATATATGTAGATATAGACACAGTGTTGCTATGTTCATCCTCAAAACAGGTTTCAGAGTTTTCCCTGTCACAACAACGCATGTCCTTGCTACAATAAGACATCAGAATAATCCCCAAATCCACTGGATAATCCATAATTTCTCTCAGAAACTAAAGTAAAGGAAGTAACAACAAGATGCCTTTTTTCTCTCTAGTTTTGGACAATTTTCACAGAAAATATAATATTGTTTCTTGTCTTAGAAGGTCTAAAATCCTCTTACACAAATATACATGATCAAGCTTTCTTTTTAGCCTTTCTGTCCATCTGCAATTAGACAGTTTTTCTATCCACATTCAAGTGGAGGATCATACTTCAAAACATGTAGTAGGATCCTGGTTGGTGTTACTTCACAAAATCTCCTCCAGCACCTCTCTTTTCCAAGCAACAGAGCCAGGCATCAGAATATACTCTGTTCTACAACGTCATACTCAACAACATGCAATGAGATGTTTCAGTCATTAGCCACTCTCAAATAACCTCCTAATCTTGCTCTCAAGAAGGCAATGACCTTGAGCAAAAATTATTACCAGAGGTAAAAATTCTATCAAAAACAAAAATGAGAAAACTAATTTTATAGAGAGAAAGTACTGAGATCAGCACTGACATATTCTTACCCAAGCTTTCTTGGAAAATTTAACATATATATCTATATCCTCTTCTTGGCAAATGCAAAGAATGAGAAGATAAATTTTAGAATTCAGTAGCAGGCATACTGCATTAAGACAGAGGCATTTTAGAAGTCTGAATTGACAAAAAAAAAAAAAAAAAACCAAAAAAACCAACCAGGTTACATCGCTAGATTAAAGAATAGCAATGGAAACTATGGGTTTTGCTTTATGCTGATCCAGCAGGTCAGACATTTAGGTAAGCTGTCATATTGGGCAATAATCTCCCTTCTGTGCCAACGAGTTGTTAAGGCAGACAACAGTAAGACAAAAATCCAGGTCCCTTTTCTAACGTCTCATCTCCTCACACTTATAACGCGACACTAAATGTACATACTCTGTATTTTAACCAGTGTGAGCTGCAATTCAAAGCTAAAGGCAAAATGCAGAAATCTCTCACCTCAGGTTTCCATGCTTTTGAAGAATCTGAAGCAAGTTAAACTGAGATTCTGAGCCTAGTTTTTGCAGAAACTGCTCTTCTCCATCTCCAGTTTTTTTGTCAAGTTTTTTTGGCAACCTCTCCTTACAAGTAATTTTCACTGAGTCAGGGAGCTTTGGCTTGTTTTTCACCTGGGTGTCCGAAACAGAGCAAACAGTTCTATCTAGCTCTTCATCTTCATCTGCATCCACCTCCTCTTCCTCCTCACCTTCTGTGTCTGACTTGAGGGACAGCTTTGCTGATTCTGATGTGCCTGTAGTAGAGGAGAAATCACCTATGCTAGTTAAAAAAAAAAAAAATTAAGAAGTAGAGAGGACTTTCCTTTGGTTTACCCCTAAACTCTTTTCTGCTAGAAGGACAGAACACCACCATTACAGAACAAAATCTTAAGTATCACTGCCCTATATTATCCTTTCTGTCTTTCTGCTTGTGCATCAAACAGTTGAGAAGCCCCTTTTCCCAATATCAGAAAAGACAGACCAAGATTCTTTACAAATTAAAAAAAAAACCAACCACCACAAAATCAAAGAGACAAAGGCATTTTCCTATATTTTATCCTGATTCTTACATGTTTACTGACACGTATATACGCCCATACTTGACATATATATACACTCATTTTTTGTATTTTGTGTGTCAAATAAACCAAAGCTACAAAATCTAAACTTCCACATGTGTCAATACAGATCATACAGCTTAACATACCAGCAAAAATAATTTTCTAACGTACAGTCTCTCCCACTGTAGTCAGTATCACACAGCTACCAGAAAGAGTTTAGATACTGGTTTTGGGAACAGTCACCTGTGAGGATCATTCGCATCTGTACCCTTGTAAGTTTTTTTAACATCTGTTTGGGTAAGAAGGATTTCTCTTTCCAACTGCTTAGAATCACTGCTGTGTAGGAGAACCAATCTGCAAGGTCCCATCTTTCTCTGAAAAGCCAGAGAACTACAGAGGCACATATACAGTTGAATTTTTCACTCCAAATGTAACCACAAGCTCAGCTCCAAGCAAGTACTGATTCCCTTTAATCATATACACGGCGATGCGGAAAGGTGGGAATGAAATTTTAGGCACTAAAAAACAAGAAGCTCAGAAGAGGAATGAAGTGAAAACTATTAACACTTGAAACCAGAACAACTCCATTCACACACATTACAAATGAAGAAGTCTTTTACTTGTTTTCCTTTGACTAGCTGCTCATCTAAAACTCTAGCCATGCATACCTGATGATCTCATTTGTGCTGCTCTAGCCTTGCCATGACATCGCCGACGCTTCCGTAACTCCAGTGAAATAAGCTTTCTCTCATAAAACAGAGCATGAGAGTCCACAGCTTCCATCCTCATATCCAGCCTTCCATTAAGACCTGCTCTGGGAAGCATAGTACAGAGACATCCCTCAATCTCTCTTTGTACTTCTCTTCCTGATGATACAAGAGACCTAGTAGATCAAATTTCTTCAAGAAACTTTCTTTCCTGATACAGGGAAGAAATATTTATTATCAGTCTAACTCTGCTCTATTTAACCCTACAAATGTTTGCAGAGAGTCTTGCAAGTACTTTACAGAACATCATCTCTCAAAGCCCCAAGATGCACTTATCTACTGTCATGCTTTCGTGATTGAGTAGTATCTGCCCATCAGCAGGTGGACATCAGCAGCAACTCCAAGGCACAATTAATAGGGAAAAGTGAATTTCAAGAGTACAAAACAATGGAGGGGAATGGAAAGAGAGCACATGGACCTCAGTCCAGTCATCTGACCCATTTATATAGATAGTTTGTTCTTCACTATTTGGTCAGAAATAAGAATTTTAATATAATCTAAGTGGAAAATGTCAAACTTTCTACAAGTCCTGCCTAAACCAAGGGATAAGGAGCTCTGTCAGATTTCTTAAGGAAAACATACAAAAGAAACAACTTTCTGCCAGCACACAAAGTTCCAGAAAAGTGCTCTCTATGATTTAAGTGTGAACATCAACAAAAAATTCTTGTTGCTTCATTTATCTTTTAGATCTAACAAACTGAATACATGGGTATATAAAGCCCCAAACCCTCATGCACTATGGGATCTTTTGAGATAACTCAATGATGAGGCTTATAAATATGGCAGGAATACCAAAGCAGGAAGTCTAAGAAGAGCAATTTTAAGGTCCAATCCAAAATGAGCTCTCCACATACAGGTATATGCTTTTCTCACTGTATTTGTTTTTCTAAAATTTCTAAAATCCATATTCTAAAATATGGATTTCAGGTAGAAAAGGTGTTGACCCACAGGTTGAAAGATGAAGTTCTGCAAATTTAAATTTAGAAAATAAATCCAAAGAAGTACAAGTTATTTAATTAAGAAACCATTTACCGGGATCTTCCAGTGATGAAGTCTCTTTTCATCTTGCCCCTATAAACGGAAAAAAAATCAAAAATTACCTTCCATTCTGAATAAGCCTGGATTAAAAAGCCTACATAGTCTATCATATGTACAAAGAAAAGACCAAATTTACAGAGTCACTTGTGAGTACTACGTTAAAGGAGGAAAAAAAAAAAAAAGAGCTCCAAGGAGGAAATCTGAGCAGCTGTACTAGAACTGATGCTTACATTTGTCAGGCTTAAGTTGGAGAAAGTGTCATTTAGAACTATTCTTTAGACACATCCCTGAATGTACACAGAGAAAAAAAAAATTATACACTGCTCATGCAGGAAGAGCTTCTGTAAATATTGTCTCCTTTTTCAGCCTCCTTATCCTTACTTGGTAATTATTTTATAGTGGATCTCAAATTTGGATAAGAAGAACTGTTGAGAAGGAAGGGCATTAAAGATACTTTACATGAGGACAAGCTGTAATGAAACTTGAAATTTGAAACAAAAGGTAAGCAAAGACCACCTATAATCCCTTCATAGAGAAATCTATGTGCTTGAAGTTTTCTCATGTCTATAGCAACCTTTGTACTCCAGTGATTCCCATGACTTTTGTGTGTTGTCCTTTGTATCCCTGGATTCAGAACTATAACACATAAATATGAGAAACCTCCACAGTCATCTCACACACATAGAAGAGATAAGCAACTATCACCACCCCTGTAAATCACAGGCTGATGCTTATTGGATAAGTGAGGAATCAATCCTTTTCACGATGTTTGTGCCCTTTGCCTCTCTCCCAAACAGAAAAGCTTTCTACCTGTCCTTAAACAGACGTGTAGCCAGCATGTAGTTCATTGATGTCTTGTGCTCTAAAAATGATCTAGAAAAACAAAATACAGGATTATCAAGAAAGAGCTCAACACAATGAAAGGCAGCATAACACAGAAATAAATGACCTGTAAAAAACATCCCAGAACTGGATTCAGATGACATGCTGTACCATAACAGAAAAGAGGAAAGGAGGAGAGCTATCTTTTTCAGCTGAAGTCCCTGGTGATGCAAGAGACAGAAAACATTACAGATTGGAAAAATAAAATTCGAAAAGTGTAACATAGTATCACTTTCAGAATGAGTGAGTCCTATATGGCATTTAGGGCCTAATGACAAGACTACATAGTATGCAGCTCTGGGATGTAAAAGCAGATAGCCATAATGGATTATCTGAAAGGAAGACATTTTTATTCTAACAGAAAAGCAACACCAGAAGCAATGTTTGACAGCTTTCCATAGGGTGCAGTTAGGCAAAGCAGCAGCTGATAAAAACAAGGGATCAGAGAAAAGCATCCTCAACACTAAATTAAGCTCTACCAAAACTTTCAATATGTCTTTTTGATTGCCAGGATGGTTGATCTACATATACCCAACATAGAATATCCCTCAACACAGAGCATTAGTGTTAGCCCTACTGGATTTTTATTTTTACCCATAAAGGTCCCATGTTAATGGGGTAGGGAATATCCGGATGAAGCCTCCTCTCCGTTCATTTTCCTCTTTCACTCGTCGAAGAACTTTTATCTGGAAAAAAAAGAAAGAAAAAGAAAATAGCCAGCAAAAGAGATAAAAATAAAAAATGAACCTTACAAAAATCTCTGAGTTTCAGCCAGTGGGCTGGGTACATATGACATTCTTAAAAAATTTTGTCTTGCATTTAAATTCCAAAGGAGCCTATCACTGCTTCAAGCATATAGGTATGCCTGGCATAAATGAGGGCAAGGATAGGACCAGCAGTAAAAGTCAACAATTCTGTTTTAAAACGTATTCTTCTTCTGTCATGTTTTTCATATACATGCACTTGCTCTTTGTTGAGCAAATAACCCCACATACTGAATAAAAGCCAAAGTAAATAAAAGCGATATAATAGGCTACTTACCTCCTCCATGGACAGGCCTACCACAGAGCTGCTGTGCTTTCCTGTTGCTTTTTCCCTGCCTAAGGGCATCGAGCTTTTAACTTCAGCATCACTGGCAGACAGAGGACGGGTTCGCTGTAGAGACAGTGTGAATCCAGGTTTTTCTCTTTCCCCCTCTCAATTTCCTTATTAAAAAAGTTACATTCAAATCCAGGACCCCATTCCCAACAGGATCGACACTCCAGAGCACCACAGCCAGAATTCACAATTCCACACTCCAGCTGTTGAAGAGTCCACACCTCAGACAGCACTAAGTGTGAGCATTCACATCCTTAGATTTTAGCACAGCAGGACTTACAATTCACACATCGGTGCCAGTATTTACGCCCCTGTCCCCTTCCAGGAAAACATGAGACATACTGAAAAGCAAAGTCAGGATGTCATACAGAAAAAATCTCACCCAAGGGGCACTAGAGCCAGCATCCACAGAATCCAGATACACTTAGATTCACACATCAGTGGTACCAGAACCCTGATTCTCTGTTCTAATTGTGTAGCTACAGTAGAACAACAGAACTGTAATTCACTGATTAGATTAATACTGCAGGGAAAAGTTCACTACCTGTTATTCTTTTGTTGCTGTACTGCTAGGATATCAGCTTACTATTTCTTGCACTTAAGAGACAGATCCTGTATATATACACAGACACATTTTTAAAAATTTGAAAAATAATTTGCACACAGTCTCACTAAGCTTATTCTTAACCTGATGGGTAGTTGTGACCTATTCTAACAAAAGGACAGGAATTCAAAATGTCTTCAAATTATCAGGATTATAAAATCTTCAAATCTGAGTAAGACCAAAATCTCTGAACTTATTCTCAAGTACATTTAAGTTAGCCTTAGGCTCAGTTCATTAAAAATAGCATTTAAAGACTCTAGCTGAGAAAGTCTCAGGCATTTATACTAAATTCAAATTTTCTTTTAGCTCTATACTGAGCAAAGAATGCACAGAGGGCATTTTTAATCTAGAAAGAAAAAAAAAGTGACAGAAACCTTAAGCTGGATAAGTCCAGAGGAATATTCCATACTACTCAGACACAAATAAAATCCATGGCACGATCAGGTTGTATCTTTATTTGTAAGGACTATTGGAATTGAATTTCATTCTCTCTATTTAATTAGATATTGCAAGTGGCTATGCGATCTGTACATGAAGCAACAGCAAAAGCAACAGGCATTGCACTACAATAGGTTACACTGCAGTGACTGGCACAGAAAGATACAAAGATAAAACAGACAGACTGTGCCAGCTAAAACATTTTCTTAAGTCTAATTAAAACTGATTTTAAAAAATAAGAGAAAATTACACAATCTGGATGAGAAGGTAGGAGACACAAGCATTTGCAGAAGAAATAAAAATGCCAGTAACCAGACAGGATTGCCTGATGCTGTAGATGATACTAAGCTGAAAGGCTTTAGTCTTTCTTCCTAAGCTTTCCTCCATTTCAAATTCACAGCTCAACAACTTTGTTTCCTCTAAAATCTCCTGATAGGTAACCTTCTCTTAAAAACCATTTCCTGGCACTATCACGACAATCATTATCATGTGAGAACTGCTGCTCAAAGAGATTATTACAGAAATTTTTCATCCTATTAGATGAGCTACTTTACTAAAGGAACACTTGAATACAATGGAGATGATTTCATTAATTACAAACAGAAAATATATGCCTACATATTGCTAGCTCTGGCGCCTACCTGAGAACACAACTACACTGCTGTCAAAATGCTAGAGAAAAACTCTTAACTTTACCAGGCTTCCTGCACAAACACTTTTTTCAGTGTTTCACTACAGAATACCCTCTGCCTGTAGCACAGAAATGTCTCCAGCTTCACAAAGACCTTGTTTCCTCTTTGAACCAGCTTATCTTTAGAAGTATAGATAAATCTAACCGCTCTGGTGTATCTCCAAATTCTGCAAGTATCCCTGGTTCCCACATCATGATTCTAATTTTACTAAGCACTGACAGCTCTTGGCACAAAGATCCTTCCTATTCTCTACAAAACCTCATTATTCAATAAGACTCTTTCCACTAAGCCTCAGCTAAACTTACACAGAATGACATAAATAGCAGTGCATAGAACAAATTAGGTTCTCAAGATGATTCCATCTGTCCTACCTTCCCTGCCTGCTGGGAAACCTTATAAAAAACCAAATTAGAATAATTCCTATTACATTCATGCAGGAAGCCCAGCAGCAAAATAATACCTACCATGTCCCCACACAGCCAGGTGCTTAGAATTGTAAACTAACATTGATTTGTCCATATGGTTTGCATGAAGAGTGCCAAATATGACATTCAGAAAGGCAGATCAGTCTGACTTACGCTAACAACAGTCCATATTTTTCCATTAAATTTAAGAAATCCTTCTTATCTCTATTTTAAGCCAGTTCACTCTCAAATTTTTGCAGTGTCCCTCAGATGACTGTCTCACAGAAAATTATTACTTCTTTTATAGGGCCTCTTGAATTTTGTCTGTGCAGATTCACCTGTGCTTTCCTTATCATTCAGACTTATTCCATCCCCTACAGTACACAAGACAAAAATTCCTCCTCGTCCCTTTTGGTGTGACACTCTTATTTGCTGCTGTGTTTAACAGCTTCTCATTGGTTTTTGCACTTTCCTTTTCAATGCCTACCTACTGTGCTGCCACTGTCTTCATCATTTGATGATCAGAGTGACAGCTTTATCTTTAAACATCTCTATTAATTTCTTCAAAATGCAGTTCAGAAATACTTGTAGTCTCTCAGCGTATCTCACCTACTTTTTTTTTTTAAGTTGCTACTAGTGTTTTAAGTATTTTTCCAACATTTGCTTTTGCCACATAGAAACATATGTCAGTCCATCTTCTTTTGTTGACTTTCCTTCACCCTGCACCTGGCTACTCTAGTCGTAAAATATAGTTAGGGACTAATTGTGCCAAAAGCATTGTACAAGGTAATGTTTGAAAGTGTGTCCCGTATACTGGTGCCGGGAGCTGAAGGGTACTTACCAATCTGGTGTTTGCTGTTTGTGACTGTGCAGACGCAGGACGCTGCAAGAGACACACAGAAAGAATAAAAACCTTTGTGTTATCCAAGACACCATCTCTCTGCCTGAGTAGCAGAGGAGTGGCAAGTACCCTAAGCAAAATAGCATAAGCAAAGGGTGGTGAGGCACTGGAACAGGTTGCCCAGAGAAGTTGTGGATGCCCCATCCCTGGAAGTGTTCAAGGCCATGCTGGATGAGCCTTGGAGCAACCCAGTCTAGTAGAAGGTGTCCCTGTCCACAGCACAGGGGTTGGAACTTGATGATCTCTAAGGTCCCTTCCAACCCAAACCATTCTACGATTCTATGATAACTGAAGTGCAGAGATACAGCTAACGACTTCTGCCATCTCAGTTCAGATCTTCCTCATATCCTGCACAAATGTATCCTGTCCTCATTCCAAACACAGCACTAATCCTAACCTCAGATGTGCTCAGCTGTGCAGAATGCATCTGGACATGCAATTTTCAGAAGCACACAGAAAAGAGCTCTGAACTACGCTACGATGACCAAAATTGATATTTTTGTGAGATAAGAGTCTCTTAGATAAAAATATTTAATAGTTATTAAGCAGAAGCAGACGCTGTCTAGTAGAACTGTTCATAAAACAAAGAGGATTAAAAAAAAGTAATAATCCTGAAATTCCACAAGGAATTCCATTTAAACAGCTCAACAACATTCCAGTTCTTGCGGAGAAACAAAATACTATTTAGCATTCTGAAACAAGCGTAGAAACATCATCAGAATGTCAGAAAGTACCCTGTATTGCTGATCTGGCATCAGGTCCACAAGCAAGACCAGTTTAATGACAGAGGCAGGTTCAAAAGGAAACAATTATCATAGGAGCTTAGATTTTTCTTGTCTTCAGTGGTATTCAGGCTGTCTCCTCTTCTCCAATGCCCAAGAGGTGCAACTGGTGTGAGAAAGGCTTCTCAAGAGACTAATCTATCATTTCCAGCTGTACTACTGACAAGTTCTTCTCTACAGCTGGTCTATACAAAACAGGTCAAGGCCCATTGATTGCTTACAATTAACTAAAAGAGCTCCAACCCAAATCAACAAGATTACAAAGGAAGAAGCTAAATTGTTCATTTCCCTAGAGGGAGAAATGCTCAGAGAGTCAAACCAAAAGAATTGCACAAGAAACTTGCAGTTCAGTCTGCTGAAACTGAGAAAACACAGTAACTATCTCAGGGTAGTTATTCAAGAGAGTCTCTCAAGAGCACTGGTATCAGCATTTCTTTCCCAAGCAACAGTTTTACAATGATTAAAGACAGTCTGTGTGAAAACCAAAACTCAAGACTTCATGAAGGAGGAAAGAAAAACAAAAGAGGTTCAAGGTACGCTTTGCAACTGGGAATTGGAACAGGTATCAAAGATCCAACAATCTGAGATAAAATGCATTAATCAAAGAACAAGTCAAAAGATTTATGAATAATGGAAATATCTAAACACCTATTTAGCCATGGAATTTCCATTTAGGTACATTAGAAAAACATGTTATAAAACTTTATGGCTGCATCATAACCCTGTTCCTATTAAACAGAGGTAGTGGGGACACCTGTCCCAAAAGATAAATTAATCCCACTTCATAACCACTGCTCTCTCACATGAATCTTTGTTCATTTCAACTGGTCAGGCTTTACATCTCTTTGTGGGTTTTTCTTAAGCAAAATAAAGTTTAAATCCTCCTTAAAATTCAATGCTTCCCAGTAGCATAATTTTCTGCGACTGTCTTGTATAATTTTTTTCAGATAAAAGATGTCAAATCATCAGGATCTGATCACATTACTCTAAGAGAGAAGGGTACTTTTTCTGGAATGGTTCCTAATTTATCTGATGTACCTTTTGTCTGCTACAAAGATTACCTATATAGTCAATGGGATCTGTATTGAAACCACTATCTATTAAATTGGCCTTAGAAGTTTTGGACTCAGGCATGCATCCTGTAGATACTCAAATCCCATCTTACCAGCTATTCATCTCTCTCCCAGTGACTAAAGACTCCGAGTTTTACAAGAAACAAAACACTGCAACTTCTCTGAGTCTTCCCTATACTAAAATGGACAGTGTATTGGTACCCTGTCACTCAACAAAAACGACCTATCATTTCCTAACTGAACTTGAGCTACTAAGCCACGTTCATGTCCCTCACAGCAGCTGTCAGGGTGCACCATTTGCCTATTTGCCTGAGGAGAAATGTGTTTAAAGTCCAAGTGATGTATCAGATCTCCTTGCTTTTTGTGAGTGCTCCATTTCCGCAGATATTTATGGAATCCATTTCCTAGCCAAAAACAGATAGAGAACAACTGCCGTTCAGCATTACAGTGTTAAGAAAGCACTAGCTCAGCAGAAAAGGCAATGGGCAGTCACAGCAAGCCACATGAGGCCTCAATCCAATGATCCATGAGAGAGGAAGTGAGAGATTCCATCAGAGTGGGAAAAAAGTCTTAAATTTCAAATGCAAGAAGCTCTTTTGGCCTAGAAGGAGGTCTTGGAGACATTCATAAAGCTCTAGGTTTCTGGAAGCTTGTTACGCACAACAAAATGAAAGCAGGTGAATAACTCAGGTGCATAACTGAGGTGCATCCCCTGAGTCTCTTAGAATCATAGAATGGTTTGGGTTGGAAGGCACCTTAAAGATCATCTAGCTCCAATGCCCCTGCCACGGGCAGGGAACCTTCCACTAGACCAGGGTGCCCAGAGTTCTATCCAGCCTGGTCTTGAACACCTCCAGGGATGGGGATTCCACAAACTCTCTGGACATGTTTCAGTGCCTCACCACCCACACAGTTAAAAATTTCTTCTTCTGTAGTTATGCTAGAAATCTAGATAATCTCACTCACTGCCCCTCTCACCAGTGAGTCAAATTCAATGAGAATGACTTTTTGCCATCCTTCCCACCTCTGGTTTGTTAAAAATCACTTACTTGCATCTTCTGGTATGGATTTCTCCTGACAGATTCAGCTGAATGATAAATGGTCCGGCTTGACCGCTGGCCTGGATCCTGGCACACGAAGCCTATGGGCATCAGGAGCCACATGAGAACTTTCAGACAGGCAAACCCTGACATATAAACCTAGCATTCCTGTTCACAATTTCAGTCTGTACACAACCTTCTTGTCCTGCCCAAGAACCAATAAGGATGCTTTCCATTTCTATACCTTGCTTTGTTTAATCACAAATTGTACCTTGCATTACATTTTTTAAATAAAAACTGTAACTTGCTTCAAAACCACCTTAAAAAGAGTAATGTCTTCAAATATGAAACTGGAGACTCCTAATACCACCTAAGCATCACAGTCAGACAGATTATCCTGAAGTTGAAGTATACACATACCACTTCCCACTGCTACATACAACTGCTTTCCTTAACTGGAGTTTGCCTCCATTATACTCATCTACTAACATGCAGCTCCTAAACCTATCTTTCATTGGTTTTAAATAAGGGAAGGATTGAATGAGCTTTTTGTTACACTTACCTACAAGAGTGAACATATCTGAGAGCATGCTAGCTTTGATCTTCAGGTCCAAAGGAGCATCACTGTCCCCACATGCAACAGAGGACAAGAGAAATTATTTGTCTGGCATTAAATGAGAAGAAAGCATCAGCATCCAGCGTATCTTCCAATACAGTTTCTTTGTACTGATTCTTAACAGAGGCAAAAACAACATGGGAAGAAAACTAGGCAATTTTCACATACATAGGTAAAGATCAAACAGCAACAGATTAATCTGTTTATCCTTTTTCCACATCTTTTAGTGTCCTAATGCACCCATGTACAGCTTTGTTTTAGCTCTGCTTAGCTAAAGACAATTTCTTTGAATGTATCTATGTTACATTTCATGAAGTAGATAAAAGCTGCTGGCATAGAATTCTTAAAAACCACAATTAACTATGTCTCTTTCACATTAAATCATGATTGAGAGATCTACAAAAATAAATCCCCAATTTTCATTAGAGTGCAAGGGTTGGCAGAAGAGTCAAGACAACACTAACTCTTTAGATTTTAGCTAAAGACAATACTAGGCCAAACATTTGAGCCCGAGCATTCATCTACATACTCAATATAATGACTGAACTCTGCTTGGACTCCATAATCTTAAAGCTTCTATCAGCCAAGCAGACTGAAATCCCACACAACAGTCTGTAAAGTTTCAAAATCCATCTATGATGGGAGATTATGAAGTGTTAACAATGATGACAGACTGTGGAAAAGAAATAATTAAAAAGAAATGGAATCCCAGTTGGGCACCTTCAAAACCTATTGCTGCAACAAGTTTGTTTATGCAAAGGAAAAAGCAAAAGATTATCCTCTCTACCAATCAGCAGTGGAACAAATAACCTGCAGGTATCATGAAATCATGCCCTCCTAGGACCATAAGTTTCAACAACAACCATTTCCAGCAAAAGTGTTCATAAGAAACTGGAAATCACTTACCAGGCCAATGATGGAGACAGGTTCACTTCCAACAGCCAGGGTTTGAGAGTGTCATCGATAAGGACATCAAAACCATACAGTTCTGAAAACACAGTAGACACTCAAAGTTCATCTTACTGCATTTTTAAGCATTCAGGTAAGGTGCAACACTAGTCTCTATCAGGTCATTCCTATTAAGTAATTTATGTTAAATCCAGTGAACTCTCTAGGGCTAAACAAATAACATTCCACAAGGAGGACTTTTCACTTCCTCAGAATCAAGATTAAATACATTCTGTCTGTGGGAGAGAGAAGAGAACAAAGAAGGAGTCTTAGGGAAGTATTACATAGAAAAATAAACTATTTGCTGCCCACAAATTGTAGTTAATGCAAAACTCTACTACTTGCTTTCAAGTAGAATTGACACACACAGTAGGTTCAATCTACTTCTTCCACTGGACCCTGGAAACAACAGAACTTCATTCTCCTCTTCACTTTTATTCCCTATATTCATTGTTCCAGTCAGCTAGAGAAAATTTGCTTCTTTCAAGCATCAGTTTCTTTTCAATTATTCCTGTATATTTTCTACAGTATCCCCAAGAGATTACAGACTTCTTGGCAGCTCCATCTACACGGAAAACCTCCCATGGACAACCCGTTAGCTTATTGACAGCTTGCCACTTCGCTGCAAACCACGATAGAAATATTTTTTCTTTAGTGTCTAAAACATTCTACAACATATTACATCTGCTAGATGTGTACTGCTCTACACAGCTCAGACTGAAGCCAGCTTCCCATTCCAAGACTGATTTTAATATCTCACTCTATACACACCTTCTCTCTAGTTTGGAAGGAGTTGCAAGAAGGATGCTACATAAAAATGACTGTAAATCAGAAGTTGCCATTTATGCAATTCCCTCTTCCAGCATTAAGAAATACAGTTAATGAGCACCAGGGCAACTTAGACAATTTTTTTTTTTTTTTTTCAAAACACCACAGAGCAGGGTACAGCAGAATAGGAGGATTTCCATGGACTTAACCAGTTCCATAGTGACTGGTAAAAGCAGTTTGCCATGCTGCTTTCCTTGAATTCTGGCCTTGGCCTCGAGTCACCTGCCTGACGTTAATGCTGGCTCTGGGGAGCTGGACTGCTTGACAAGATCTTCATATGCAGACAGCTGTGCAAAAGCTCATGTATCTTATAATGGGAAGTTAATGAGCTGTGGGGGGGGGGACTTGGAAGGGGAGGAAATGGCAACAGAGTGAGCATTGCGTGCTCACTTTCTAGACTCTGTAGCCAGACACTGAGTGGGAAGCAAAACAGCAGAGACTTAGAGTTGGTTCACTCCAAAGAAATGAGGCTGAATCTGCATTTGGCTCTCTTGCTCCCCAGACAGGAAAGGCTGCAGTAGAGAGGAAAGGAGGAGGTGGGGATTTTAAGTGTAAATATTAGCAAAGCACTTTGACCAGGGGAAACTTCTGATGATTTTAATACGTTATTTCAGAATACAATCTCTGATTTGGTGAAGACCCACAACTCTTAATGGCATAGAAAACTCCAGTGGATAGGCAGCTCATGCCCAAGACAGAGAAGCCAATGAGTGGGCCTGTGGCAGCTGCTGATCTACAACCTCCTAGCCCCAGTCAGGAAGCAGCACATTTTGTTTTGACTAGCTGTTGCTTCTTTTGCTGCTGGCCATTCCCTTCCTTTGCCCCTCAAAGAATCTTTGCTACATTTTGGCTCCTCTGACCTGGTCCTCCTCTCCCACACAATTCTCTTGCAAATCACTTGCTCTTTAAACTTCCATTTTTTCCCACCCAGTTACTCACTCTGTCCACTTTTACAAATACACATGGGAAACCTCTTGACCTCAGCTAGCCCCGACCATGCTGCTAGAGCTTTACATTCCTTTCCCTTGTGTCTGCCTTGTTTATTAGGATAGTAAGCTCTTCAGGGTATCCCTGTTGACTCAATTCATCAGACTTCTAATGTCATCTGCAATGCCTCAGGGTCTCCTAGGAAGACTCCACTGATGCTCCATAATGCCCCAAGGTTTATGTATTCTAGGTCATGTCTACAACCCCTAGACAGATGTCTCTGCTACCTCACAGCACCAGGAGCTATGCAATATCCATGTTCTGGAAACAGAATCAAGCCTCACAGGTTCCACATAGGACTTAGCACAAAAATGTGCTTAACAGTCAGAAGTTTACATAGAAATATGTCCTTGGCCCTCTTCCACACTTAGAAAAGACACTACCTACATTAAACACAGAAGAAAGTAGTAGTATCCTTTCCACTATGAAACTCCACTATCATTTGTAAAAATAAATACATAGGCAGGACAAAGATGTGGAGTCACATGACCATAGCAAGATCAAAAGTATATCCTCTGCAATTACCACCCTAACCAGGACTGTCATTTCCCTCTGTAGAGAGAGTAAAGAAAACAGAATGACTGAAAAATATGCTTCATTCTGTGGCGACAGTACGTTCATAACATCCCACCTACCCACCTAGTGCCACTGTTGTTAGTCAGAGAAGAAAAGAAGAAACCAAGATACCAAGTTTCCACAGTGCCTTCCCTTGCTCCCCTCCTCTTGCTACTACAATCCACAAAAACATGTTTCACCACTGCAGTTTGCTGAAGAGACTGGAATTATATCTGAAGGTACCAGCTGTTGCCAAAACACAGCAGAACAGCCTGCCTCTCCCCTCTAACCCCCATAGAGAAGGCATTGCTGACCAAGCTTCCCATCCTCCCAAAAGAAGGCCTAGCTTCAGACTGAAGTCTAACGGCAGCAGTTCAGCCAGAGATTTTTTTGCCAGTAACATAATTTAAGACTAAGAGGAAGGCTAGAGATATGGTCTCAAGCTTTTTGGTTCTGATAAACTTCCATGTATTCCAAGTTTAACTTATAATCCTGTCCAAGACTGCACTGGCACTCCCTTTCACAAAATATCCCCAAAGAATTTGTTATTCTCTCTAAGTCTAGAAAGTAAGTCACAAGTGATAGCATGGTAGCACAAACAAATTTTTCATGATTTTGCATAGAATGAATAAACTCAGTTCCTAGGGGGTCACTGTAATTCTGGTCTTTGTTTGCAGTTTGTTCCCTGGGGAAAAAAGCAGCTTTACTGCAAAGTACATATTTTGCAACTGAATGGAGATAACCTGAAGTTATGAAAGGACACACACAGAGTGAAAAAAAAAATTGCAAAGCAGGCATCTCCTCTGGTTTTATAATAAAAACCTGATCATCTGATTTTATGCAAAAGCATATTTACAGACATTCCTAATGCAAGGAATTACATCTTTGCCACTGGAATTCAGGTCTTCCCTTTTTCCTTCCTACTTCTGTGCTTATGTAAAGGTATCCTGCAGGCTGTGCTTACAGACAACATGAATAAAGGTGTTAGAGAAGATAACTGTGCTACGATTTCATCCAAAGCAACAACCAGTCAGTGCCAGGGAGAAAAACTTGCAAGAGTACAGTGATGGTCATACTGCTTTGCTGAACATGCTGCCAAAATTAAGGCTTCAGAGACTACACAGTATTTTGTAAATCAACCCCAATCCTTTCACCTTGTGATGGTACAGTACCTGTTTCAACTCAGCTACAGGGACATGAACAAATCTACATGTTGGGGGCTATCACAGTCAGGTCCTAAATCATTCCTGTTACTCTTACAAAAGACCTGCATAATAATTTATGCTTTGATAAGCAAGAGGCCACACTGTCATATCAAGTAATAAAACAGAAGACTCTACTCTAGACACTAAAAGCTTTGGGGAAAGTACTGATGCTGTAGTCTTGTGCAGGAATTTGCCTTGCACTCTAACTAATACAGCTTAATTCCCTTTTTTATAGAGCTTTATTTTAACAGATAAAGGTTTTATCTCAAAGTATTATGACAGGAAAGGATCTAGCAAGAGGGGACAAAATTATTCCACATGTTGTTGTTCTTGTCTACACCATGAGATGCAGCCTGCATCTGCCAGAGTTTGTCATACTAGCTTGGCCAAATGTGTGATTGCCTCACTTTTGTGCACTATAGGTAACCAGAGAAGGCCCATCACTCATGACTTCTCAACTTTCTTTCTTTCTACTGAAGCCTGAAGGACACTTAGTCCCATTCCAAATAAAAGTCTTCAGAAGTTGATTAACTTCAGAGTACATACATAGAGTCATAGAATAACTCAAGTTGGAAGGAACCCAAAAGGAACACCAAGTTCAACTCCCTGCTCCTTGCAGGATTACCTTAGACTAAACCATATGACTAGGAGCATCATCCAAACACTCCCTGAACTCTGACAGGAGTTCTGTTGTGATCACTTCCCTGAGGAGCCTGTTCCAGTGACTGACCACCCTCTCAGTAAAGAGCCTTTTCCTAATGCCCCATCTGAACTTCCCCTGATGCAGCTTCATTCCATTTTCTTGTGTCCTATCACTGGTCACCAGAGAGTAGATCAACACCTCCCCCTCCAGTGCCCTCCTTGAGAAAGTTGTAGATTGCAATGAGGTCACCCCTCAGACTTTTCCGAGATCAACAAGCCAAATGACCTCAGCCACTCCTTGTCAGTCCTGTCCTCAAGACCTTTCACCATCTTGTCTGTTCTCCTTCTACATAAACCACTACTTTCTCTGGTGAAGAGAAGATTACAGCTGATCTGAGCTCATTACCTATACCAAAATCAGACTCAGAATCATCCTTCAACTCTGAAATCAGAAAAGCTAATAAGGCCACCTTCAAGGCTAACATCCAAGAACAGGAGTCTTGGTGCAAACTGGGTTGCCTTTATAATCCTAATCTTACTGGGTAAATAAATTATCACCCACGAAAGAGAAACATTTTCAACCCAGTGTGTGATATCATAGTTAGCAAAGAGGTTAATATCCCAGAAACCATTTTTGGACATCATTTAACTTCCCTTATGACACAGAGGAACATAAGAGTAGATGTGCAGCTGCTTGGTCCTCCACAAACTTAGGTGCCTAAATTAACAAAATATAGTAGCAGGTAGATCAAAATAAAAGTCAGCTGACTCCATAGATAGATGGGTACATGAGGCAAAGGAGAAAGAGAGAATCTTTCCTGACCTTATTACCCCACATTCTTCTGATTTTAAGTTCCTAAACTCCAAGAACCTTAGCTGCAAGAAAAATGGGAGACAAGAATAATCTGGTGTTCCTTACTTTCGTGTTCTTGTCTATCTGCCAAAGACCTTATTGTCACTACAAGAACCAGTATCAGCAGATACTACATTTCTATAGTAGCTATGACTAAAAGACCTATTCTTTGACGTAATTTTACCTCTTCAAATTTAACACAACTGTCAGCTGAGCCTGAAGATAAAGTTACATGACAAAACCTACTTTGCTCATTAGATTATCAAAATACCTGTCTTGAAAGGTACAGACCTCCTGAATCCGATCATAGCTAGAGGACTCTAAGGACAACCTTTTTCAGATTCCAAATGGCATCTTTACATACCAGCTTTAAAGCAAAGACTGATGGTAAGGCTATAAAAATAGAACAGATTAAGCTTTGCAAAAAAGGTAAGGGTGGGGAATCTCTGTTCATGTGGCATGTCATCTAAGAAAGCAGAAAAACATAGGGAATATGCATGGTATATGTATGGCTGACCCAAGTCACTATACAGGGACTTAACCTCATGTCAAGCAAGTGTATACAGAAATTCCTTAAGAACATCAAACTTTTAGTGCTCTGCAAAAGTCATCATGGAACAGGTCAGCACTACAAAAGGCTTCCCCCAAATAGGTCAACTGCTACTACTAAGAAAAGAAAACGTTCATGAAGAACAGCAACCATAGGTGGTTGAGAAACTGGTGATTAGATACAATGTAGACTTTTTTAAGCATTTAGCTCCAGGTCAGCACCACTCAAGTAGTACAATAGATTATTGTTTGTTCTATAGCATCTTAATGTAAATGTGATTACAAGCATAAGCCTGACCAATTTGGCCTTAGGACACAGAAGCAGCTAAATAAGAAACTCATTGCTTTAGTGGGATCAATACGCCCATTACCCTACCCTGGCTTCTTGATTGCAGAATAGCTCAAGTGTCACAGCTGGCTTGACTAGAACTGTGAACGAATCAGGGGACTTAAATCTATTGCTTTTTCAGGCTCATGTTTCAGTGAGTGCAGAAAATCCAGTGCTACACTGGATGCTGACAAAAATACGTGCTGCACACAAGTGCCTTCATTTCATGCCCTGCTAAACCATCCTACAGGGAGATTTTTCAGACTGACTGAAAGTAGGCCTCACTGCCTTTTCTAGCCTACCCAGAAGTGCTTACTTCAGGAGGCAGAATAATGCAGTCTCTAATTGGCTTGGGCATAAGCATCGCTATTGTACCTCCTGTTCCCACACTGAGACGTCACATCCCTCGATGTCAGTGCAAAATTTAGCTTTCTCTTAAAGAAGGCTTCAGAGGTAACCGACAACTCAACTGCTTACCAACTTCAGGACAATGCAGTGGTTTGGAGACCTGCAGGATACTCTCCTCTGGAGATACTTACTCATTAAGACAGGCTTTACTAGGAGCTTAATTTTACATGAGGTATTATTAGCTAATTATGAAGAACAAAATAGAGGTTTGAGATCACTTGGTTAATAACAGTGCATGAACAAGGCAACAAAATCATGTAGTACTTGCACTGCTTTCTGTGATGCACTTCAGAAGACCAAAACTGAGCATCCCAAGTCTTCTGAAAACTGATTATTACTAGAATGCAGTAAACAGCCCACATTACATAGCCAAAATGGGACTCACTACAATCTTTCCACAAAGTGTCAGCAGCACTCCACTTTGGCATTAGAAAAAGAATCATCCTGACCTACCACTCTCACTTTCTAGGCAAGCATTGGTAGCTGAAATCAGACTATCTTCCCAGTCTTATTTTAGAAAATGAAGAAGGCATGAATTAATTCTTTTCCTTTAAATATAGAAAACAAGTACATTACACACTAAAACATCTACTTGGAAAAGGACTGAAGGGACCACTAAATTGTTGAAGTGGTCAACCTCATCTACATAAATAATAGTTATCATTTAATTTTTAGCAAGAAGGTGGCAATTGTGCAGGAATCCTATTCCCTAGAATAGCTTTATAAAAACTAGAGTAGAATACACAGTTATATTTTTTAGAAGTTTTCCAAACAAGGCCCACCTCTGCATCTGAATCTCAGAGAAGGTTTCTGAAGTCTGAGATACTTTTCAAATGATCAGCCCTTCTCAGGGCACACATGGTTCGCACCCAGAATGAAAAAAGAAAACAAAAAGACTTGTGAGACTCTGCATGCTGGCCTTGAAATCTTCATTCCCAGTTTTCTCCTTCACATTAACAGCTATGCACTGAGCCATTCTGAACATCTCCAAGTAGAAAGTGTCTTTTTTTACAACAGGGTTAAAAGTGGCACAACCAAAGAGTGTCAGAACAAGAAACACTGATGACAAATGAGCCATGCAGCATGACAACAGTTCAAATCCTGGGACAAGGACCACCACTTTTAATTGTGGGGGAAGGTGGCAAAAAGTACTGAGCTCTGGAAATGCCTAAGGCTCCCTAGGGAAGCAGTATGGCTCCTACTTAAGCTCTCTTTCCTGGGAAGCTCTTAATTTATGTTTACACTGAAATAGATGGAACAAAACAGTTTATTTGTGGGGGAGCATCTAAGAGGGTGGTTAGTGCAGCCCTGGGGAGGCAGCAGGAAGTGGGATAACCTCAGAGCCAGGCCCAGTAGAAAGTACACGAGGAACATTTGTTTCCACATACACAGCTCAGAGGAACTGAGAGACACAACTGAGGGAGGAAAAGGGAGAAGCCAAAAAAGAGGTAGTTAAAGTTTCTTTGGTGTGCTTATTTTTTTTAAAATCCTGTTGTCGATAGTTCAGCAGTAACCAAAAAAGTGCTATTTCACTGAAACTATTATTTAATTCACAAATCTCCATGCATGACAAGGTCCTTCAACTTCAAACAAAGACATCAGGTTCTGTCTCATCACCTCCACATATCTAAAGATAACAGCATTTATACAGGAGTGTTGAAAGCTACAAAAGTGTCAGTATCTAAAAGTGCAGTGCAAGGACCACATAAATGGATTTACTTTACCTGTTGCAGCTAATTTACCTGATACCTAAACACAGGATAGCTTAAGCCAAGCTTGGCTTTCGGTTTAAGCATTGACTGGGACTCCATCTTTGTGCATGTATCCACATGAGCAAAGGATAGCTACGAGCAGAAGGAGGCCTTTTCAGGGAAGGCTGGGAAGCAGCCACTGGAAAGTGGGAGAAGGCACACTGTGGTACCAGCCGCTGCTTTCTGGACCTCGTCCCAGCATCTGCTGCCAGCGAGCTCTCAAATCCCTTTGCCAGCACATAGTTGTGCATCCAGCGCCTGCCAGGAATGGGCTCTGACGCCACCCTGCGGCGGTCTCGCACACGCACAAACCATTCACCACCACCATCATTCCAGGCACCGCGTTTCACGTTTCTCCCAAGTCGTCAGACGCACGTAGGAAAATGCAGAACTACATCGTGTCAGGTGGTACAATGGAAAATATAAATGCTGTAAAAGTTGTTTAATCACCCAACAGCAATCCTTTGAGAGGGCACTAGTGGGTCAGTAACTTCAACTTTCCAGCACTTCCCCAGTTGCCTTTCAAGTCCTTTTTCATCATCCCATTTTCATTTTCTAGCACGAGATTTTGATGACTGACAATGGTACAGGGTCAATCAAGATCCAACATCCCCTGCCCTCACAGAGGCCTATGAGAAGAAATAAAACCAAAGCAGTTTCCAGCTTCCTAGCATTATGAATTGCATATTTCTCTAGCATCACAAAGCTGCAAGTTTCAAACAGTAGTCAAGAGCCAATCAACAAAGATGTCCCCAATGCCTTACCAAAGCAGCTGCCACGATGTGAAAGAAAACTTTTACAAGCCGAGGCAATGGACAGCTCAGCAGAAACTACAGTCTTGATAATCAGGTCTTCCACATTGGCCATCAGTGCTGCAAGGAGGGGAGGGGAGAAAAAAAAGGAAAAAGTAGATTGTGAAGTAAAATAAAACATAATATCTAGAAAGGCATGAGAATATGCGTATGGACAGATACCTCTGTGAATCAAAGCATGTAAGAGCCTATGGATGACAAAGAAATCCATGCAAGCATAAGTATATAGATACATGCAAAAGTATGCTAGTGCAAAAATACTCACAAATGAGAATGATAAATGTACAGTGTAGGTAAGCAGAAACATATGGCAAATACATCAGCACAAGTCAGCTGGAATATGGCCACTGCCCACTCAGCGTATCAGGAAGGATTAAACAAGAGTGGGTTAGTGAGATAAACCCTTAAATTACAAAAAATAAGCCATAGTCTCCAAGATATAAAATTTTTTCTTGTGGACTTTTATAAAATAACTGTTCTGTGATGTTGCACCTTCCTCTAAAGCAGCTGTTTCTATACCAAAGTTCATAAATCTTTTCAAAATTACATGACTGGTGACAGCTTCCAGTCCTGCTGACCCATAGATAACCTGCAGTAAGAAAGCACTCTGTAGCTCCTGCAGGAGCCTATGAAGAGAGCTCAGGAACAGGAGTCTAAGCAGACAGAGGGAGCAAAAGGCAAGAAATGATGGACATTAGATGCAGACCTGGATTCTACACTGGACTTGGGATGAGTCATGCGACAGAAAGAACACCACACTTAGTTTCTGTTTTCAAGGACAAGCAGTAGAGAAGCGAGAGGAGGGAATGAACAAATACTGGAGTCCTGCTCTCAAAAGTTACTGGGATGAAAGGACATCTTCCCCACCCCCAAAGGAAGCACAAGCAACTCCACACAGACATTTGGTAATTCCTGCTTCAAAGAGCATGTTCTACAAACCACTTGACTAGAGAGTTTACTTTAGGCCTACAATTGCTATTTCTCATGCTCAGAGGATGACATGCAGGGACCTGAACAATTACAGGAGCATGCAAGCAAATTCAGATGTGAACTTCTGTGCTAGAAGACAAGTGAAGCCAACACAGCATGGAAACATCACAGTGCACATAAACATTCTAGAGCACAGAAACCTTGCCAGACAAGACAAGGCCAGCACGTTCCAGCCAGCATTCTACCTCCCTATTACCAGAACCAGATGCATCAGAAAAAGGTGCAAGAAGCCTTTTAATGTGTAGTTAAAGAAACCTGTTTGCATTGCTCAGCAGTTTACTTAATAATTAGGAGGGTACATTTTATATTTCGGGTTGGGGTGAGGTGTGGAAATGTATCAATATAAATACCTATGTGCTCACAGCTTGCTGCATACATATTGTGCGAGTGATTGGACAGCCATGCACGCACATGATGGAGGAAAAAGCCTACTTCCATCTGAAAGCCAGATTCAAACCCCTTTCTCCAACATCTAAGTGTTCCCTGGCAACATTTGCAATATGGGCCATAGCTGCTATCAGTAGTTTAACTGATGCCTCAGTATCACAGGTAATTCATCCCTTAAAGGATATACCCGGATTCTGCTCTGCAGATGCATTTACTCCCAGCAGACCTGGCAAAGGTGTGGAAGAGGGAGCTATTTTATATGAAACACAGACTGAAATGAAAACACTCAGCAAAAACCTGAGCCATGGAAAGATGACACCACATCCAAGAGTCATTCAAACTGGCATAGTTCTCCAGAGGTTGGTCACTCATCAGACTGAACAGGCCATGGGAGCAGTAGAGGGAGGGAAGCTTTTAGAAGGAATGGAATGACCTTAAGAAACGGGAAATGTAGGTAAAACATTAAGAAACACACTCTGAGAAAGTCTCAGAATACTATTTGCAAAAAGGAAGGGGTTAGGCCTCATCTCTGGGAATTAGGAATAAATGCATAGCTCTAATGCTAGAATAAGGAACAATGCTTCCCTCCACCCTTCTCTGGTGCTAACTGGGACTCACTGGGGCTCTTCCTTGACTTTTTAGGGTTCACACTAGTGAGATGATTAAGATTCAACAAAGGAATAAAAGAACAAGATCTGTACTGACCTGCAGTGTCTCTCCCCTCTTGTTTTAAGTACCTCAGCATTGCACTCATGCTCCACTTGTTTCCATAATCCTCTACTTCAGGATCATCACAGCTAAAAATAAAAGAAAAAAGCAGATTGACAACACTGGCCTACCTCTATGGATCAGCATTAAACCAACTTAGCTAAATTGACCAAACCTCTAGAGATCAAGTTCCATTTTTCAGCCAAGTACCTGACATAATCTCCACTCTTCTTATTGACACTGTAGTTGGTCAGATGCATGAACTGGTTTTTAATGTTCTTAGATGCCTGGTCATACCTCACTGTTGCAAACCTGTAAAGAGGGATAAAGATTCAGAGTCTTTCTTGAACAAGTGGCATGCTTGCTAGATACAGCAAGCATGTCACTACAGACCACTACACAGACCACTCATCAGCAACAGCTAGGGACAGAATGTGTGCAGTGAGACTTTATTAAATGAAACCTCTCCACACAAAAAAAATATAGTTCATCCTCAAGGGACACATCCAGGTGCATTTAGTCTGTTTTTCAATGTCTTAGAGAAGGAAGTTTTTTCTCCTAGGAGCTTTCACAGTTTAACAGTGTACATATCATGCTAGACATTTTTTTTTGACTTCTTAAATTCGTGGTCCCTGGATTTTCTGGCCAAATAGGCCACTTTGCTTTAGACAGTAAATGTCACAATAGGACCTACCATGAATTCTTAAGATCCACTGGTTCTGGGAAACACACACATTTGGAGCAATCACACTACGTAGGCATACCACATTCAGTATTTCCTGAAGTCTCATACAGGCATAGGTCAGTTTTTGTGTACTCTATATGGACATCTTAGGAAAGAGTGGAAACATTTCTACCATCAACAACTACACAGCCTACAATTGCCAATCCACTTTCTCAAGAGGCATCCAGGAAACCAGATACAACCTAAAAGCCAGACCAATTTGTCCAATAAGGCAGCATCTGCTCCAAGATTCTGTCATTCTTAGGGACTATGCAGCCCTGCATATCTCAAATATGTCACCTAGCTGAGTACAGGGAAAGGAATTGTAGGAAAGATCACAATGAGGAGCAAGACACTGCTACAAGCTTATCTGGGCTCCATATGAACGCTGCTACAGCCAACAATTAGACAGTAAAATCAGCCTGTTTACTGTGGAAACAGTGGTAACCTCCTGATTGAAAGGTATTACCTATACTGTAACCAAGGACTCCACCACCACTCCCTTAGCCATGCACTAATGTTTGTGTTGAAATCAATCAAATAATTGATTCAACTGAAAAATAGCTCAGGAATTTTTTTTTTTTTGAGGTGCAGGCAGAGGGTATAGAATGTAAAAGGGAGAAGGATGACAAAGAACAAAGCTAGATCAGCTCCCTGATCTGGTTACAAAGTTAAAACTTTATAAGCATTTTTTCCCTATTTTTCCAGTGGTTACTGGAGCTATCCAATCTCCAAACTCTTTCATCAGCTATCCACTTTGATTTTACCTGTACAAGAGCATCTGTGCTGCACAGCAGGCCATCTAAAGCCAGCCTTTTTTACTGAACTATGTATTAAACCAGATCAGGCCACTGCATGGGTACAGAAATGCTTGTGGTGACACAACACAGCAGACATCACAAGCCTCTAAAAGAGCACAGGAATAGAGCACAAAATTGCACTGAAACAATTTAGTAATCTTATTAACAGGACATCTCTTTAAGAAGAATGAATGCTGAAACAATATAAGCTTCTGGGGGAGTAGAAGGAGCTTCCTGCAACCAACTGCTAATTGCTCATGCTGCCCCTCCACCGCTTTGCAGCCAGAGGAGAATTGATCATATACCTGCGCCGGAAAAGGAAAGGGTCAAAATGAGAATGGGAACAGCAGTCTGCAAGAGTTTTCTCACACAAAAAGTCCTCAGGAAGGACCCATGCCAATTTGAAGTGTATAAAATTACATCTTGTGCAGAAGTTGCTTTCTAAATCTGTAGTTGCATGATCAGCCTTTGTCAACCTACAGATGTACTGCAGCTGAAAGCTCATCACCTGCTGAGATGTGCACTCCAGCCACTATACTTCATCTGTTTCAGAAATTACGTAGCCATAGGCAAGTCAGATCACTTCACAGATCTGACTGAACAACCACACGAGCACATTACAGAAGAATACCAATTAACTTTCAATCAGATGCAGGTACATCCTCTTTCAAACATAAAGGACAGTGTTAGGATACAGTCAGGACAAAGTGGGCAGTGCCTCCATTTAGGATCAGGTCACCAAACAACTTAAAAAAAAAAAATCAAACATTAAGCAGATGATAATACTATTTGTGGTGACATTTGCAAAATCTTATATCTAGACAAGGGCAGGCTATCAAGCCAAATATAATGTAACAGAATAGAGGCAGTTGGAAACGACCTGCAATGATCATCCAGCCCAACAGCAATCATTTTCTTATGCTGCATGTAATCCTGATTCAATACTGATTTTAGGCCTCAGACTTTGTGGAAAAATAAATGAAACAAAAAATTGAGAGAAGAATGCAGGGCATCTGGTTGGAAGAATGACCAGTATAAGACACTGATAATCATTAGAGATCTAACACCAAGCATGTTCCAGTTCAAAAAAAACAAAACCAAACAAAAAAACACACAAACAACAACCAAAACCCAAAACAAATTAATGAGAGGAAAAACACCTTCACTCTTGACAATCCTCCTGTCCCACAACAGCTTAAGATGCCAATGTCTCAAAAGAGAAAAAGGTGAGTAAGAAAGGGTAAAGTCAAACACATGCTACCTAAAGAACCCTCGGCAAGAGGAAAAGTATGTACCAAGGAGGGAAGGGTTAGCTGCAAGAAAAGGGGAGTAGGTACGGGTGAAGCCTCAGTGCAGGAAAAAGGAGTGTTCAAGGAGAATGGAAGGGGGAGAGAGGAAGGGAAATTTGGATCACCTGGTTATGCAATGAAGTTAATGTTTAGAAAATAATGCATCTCCACTTTGTTTTATTAATAATCATCTCTCTTTATCCTTCCTCTATTATTTTCTGTAGTTCAGAAGAATCTGAACTATACAAAGACATCTCACAAGTTACAACAACAACAAAAAAAATCATTTAGAAAGAACTGCCAGAAAACCAAAGACTTTATTTCTCGGTGAAAATGAAGCTGCTACTGCCCTCACTTAGTAGTCATTTTGAGAAATTTTGCACCATATTTTTCTCAGCTTTAACTACATATGAAATCAGAGCATCTGGCAACAGGAAAGGGTTTGGAAGTTTGGATTCCCTTTCCACATATTTCCACAGCTTAAAGTATTTGAATTTCTTTTCAATTTAACTGAATGTTTCCAGGATTTAGCACTTCTGTTTTGAAAACAGTGACAACAGTCCTACCATATATTTTGTTTTTAATTATGATTTCATTATCTCCATCTTAACAATAATTTATTGAAAGCATACTGAAAGCATTTGTTGATTATTTACTTTCAGTCAGATCCTGGAAGATACTGAGCACAAACAGTAAGCCATTTCAGGAAGTCATGGCTCCCTCGGTACTTCAAAGCAGAGAGCATTTAGGTTTACCATGCTTCTCAGCTTATGTTTTTAACTGTTCATACTCAGAAATATGAGAACATAAACCCTGGCAGACACAGACAATATGCTAGACAACAGTATTTCTGTACCTTGTAACTGCTTGCATTACCTTCCTTCTACAGAACCCTACAGAGCCCATCCTTAATTATTAGGTGGTCTGAGCTCCATGCCCACAGAATTTACATTTCCATGGGGACTGACTATTCAGAAGGTATTTCACTGTGTTCCAGAGTTCTCAGTACAAAAACTTGCACTTTTATTAGGATGTTACCATCTTACAGGATATCATGGGGCCACCTCAGCAATGCATCAAAAAACCCCAAAACAAAACATTTAGTGACTCAAATCTCTACTTTCAAAAATCCCCCAAGCTTTATGCAACATAATCCAGTGCTGGCTTTAATATATTCACCCAGAGCTAGTCTGACTAGCCTCATGCTAAGTGCAAGTCTGCAAATGGAAAATACAAGTTATTTCTAGAGCTTCTATCAATAGCCTGTGGATGTCAGAATGGTAACAGATCACAAGTACAACGCTGGCAATGGTCCACACTCCTTATACTTGTGTTTTGCACTTGCTTTAGATGGAAGAGTGTTACTACTTCTGAAATACCAGCTACTATTACTTTCAGTACTCTATAGCTCTATAGCTTTTCATTTTATACTTTACTGTACCTTTCTTCCACTGTATTAACTAGGCTACTCATCCACCACACTTGCTCTCTCCAGGAAAGAAAAGGAACTTGCATGCCACAGAATGTCTTACTTCCACAGAAATTTACAAGCTATTTTTAGAGAAACCAAAGTCATAGAAAAAGGCCTTATAGTAAGAGTGAAAAGTAGGAAACCTCCAATGTTTGTAAAATCTTCAAGGTGTTAACCTGAGATTAGAATAAACTCTTGAGAAATCTTACAATCTTGCAGAAGATGATTTCATTTCAGGGATATGCTTTCTTCCGATTTTATTCCAGGCCACTACTAAGAATAGAATATGTGTCACTTAAAAGATAAGGGCCAAGATCCTAAAAGCAATTCAGAAACTATACACTAAGTGGGTACAGAAAATCAAGGGTGAGTTTGATGTTTTCCCAGTAACAAAATTTACCACAAGCATATGCTGCAATTTCTGCATGAGCTATTTTCATAAACACTAAAGGCTTCATGCCCAGGTGTCTCAGATTGCTTTAATCCAGCCAAAGTGATGAAGGCACAAGTAAGTGAGTCCAGATCATCATCTGCCAGGATAGGACTGTTTCAAGCCAAAGCATTACTCGTGGATGCTGCTATGTGGGAGCCTGAAATTAGACAGGAGTCCAAGAGTACTCTTAAACCAGAGGCTGATTGTCCACATGTGGAGGCACATCTTCAGCCAAAAGAGTCTATTTTATCAAGTGAAACTCTTCTAAACACTATCTTCTGCTTACTAATACCATCTCTTCTTGCTTTGCTTCAAGCAACTGTCATTTTCCCTCACTGTGATCTGTTCCTGTCCAAGTTCTGGACTACTCCATAGGCCTTGCAATGCACACTTGACAGGCACTGATGATGTGTGTGGGCTGAATGGTTCAACAACTGGATTCATAATGCTTTTAATTCTTACAAAGAATTTTCCTGTAGGACTTGTCAAGTGAAAAAAAAAATTTAGGACAAGGAGAAGTTTTCCACTATTAGACAGAAAGGTTTTCTGCCACTTCACTGCATTCTTCTGACCCCACTTCACCTAAACCAGAAGT